AAAGGTAAAATCATAAACTCTGAAATATTCAAACTGATTTAATAAAGATGATGAAACGACTGTGTAATCTACTGTACTGACCCCATTATAGTGGAAACATGTAAAATTTCCAGTTTAATCGCCAGGGATTCTACCATTTAATATATTTAGATTACAATTTTTACATAAATTTATCAACATGTTTCCATAAGAGTTGAGTTATATCCTTATTATGATGTGGGTCATTATCATCTACATGTATGTTGTAAGAATCTGGTAAAGGTAAGAATCTAGAGGTATCATTTTCAATATAATCTGGCAAAATTTCAGTTCTACTGTTAAAGTCTCCTTGAATTATAACGTCACCCAATTTAGAATACTCTGTAATCTTTTTTTCAAGATTATCAAAGAAATTTTGTTTAGCATATGTTGAGTTAATAGGAGGATTGTAAAGAAAACAAATATAGATATCAGTTGTGGTATTGAAGAATCTTTTCTTTAGTTTACACCATATTATGTCTTCTTCATTCATGTTTATGATTTTTATTCCCTTTTTTAGTTCTTGTTTGATTATAACTGAGATTCCTCCTCTTCTTTGAGATTGTCTTATATTTGATTGTGTATAGTATCCTGGAATTTGAAGTTTATCCTTTGTACTGTTATCCAGCCAGGTTTCCCCAAGCCCAATAATGTCATGTTCAGTAATTTTGTTAATAAAATCATTGTCACCTACGTAGGAGATTGATAATGCCGTTCTCTGTATTCTACTCATTATTAAATATGGTTATCTTTAAATATGCATATGGTGCAACAACCAATAAGCTATTGGTGATCAATATATTGATTACTTTCCTGAATGTCTCACCTGAATTTATCTTTTCTATAGAATAGTGCCTCCCCTTCACGGATATCTCCAGCTTTCCCAGTGTATCTACCTTCCATGCCAAGGAGTTGAAATGCAGGTAGAAATGCAGTACTGTACACCCGCTTACCCATCTCCTGTAAGCACACTATATCACCATTATAACCTGTCAGATAAGCAAAAGAAAGGGGATAATGGAGTTGGATGTGGTGGCAGTGAGTGTGGGTGGAAAGGGGTGATGATGGGTAGTGTGTGGGTGGAAAGGGGTGGTGGTGGGTAGTGTATGGGTGGTGGTTGGTAGTGTGTGGGTGGAAAGGGGTGATGAAGGGTAATGTGTGGGTGGAAAGGGGTGGTGGTGGTATCTGTATATGGACTTGCATAGTTATAACACCTATGAAATTCCAGGATTTTCCAAGATCGCGGTATATTCCAGGACAATAAAAACCCTGTTTTCATTACATTCTACTACTGTTAATAAGGAGTTAAACTTTTATTTACCTGTGAGTTCTTTCAGTAATAACTGCTCTCTGTAGTCAATGTCCAGGGCATATGGGGCACAGTACGGATACAGTACATTCTGGGCAAACTCTGTGGATGTGTAAGGATCAGCTAAAATATTATATGAAACCACTCGTAAACTAGACAGAAAAAAGATAGTACAAAAACAGTTACACTGTAAACGTGTTATAATGAATTATTCTGATATAATGAACACATAGCATGTCTTAGCTCATAACAAACACAGAGTATTATGTGCTTTAGTATTCAATATTGTACGTCACCCAAAGCTTTTGGTTACAGTATATATATATATATATATATATATATATATATATAGGAAGGTAGTCGATTATTCCAGGTGAGAGTGCTCGATACTAAACAATGATTTTGTAGAGCAGATTTACATACGTGGACAGAGAAATTAAGACACAACTACATGAGTAAAGTTCACTCTACAGTACTGTTTCATAAGGTACATGGAGTACCTCACTCATCAGGAGTTAAGACTTTATTAAATAAACCACTGAAACAGACTACGTTATAAGC